TTTAAATACACAATTGATGCACATGTTTATCTATTATTAAAATAACCCTAAAGATTTTTGGAGCTTGTGTAACGACCTGTTTAGTCATTTTGAGCAGCAGATTTTATTTCTGGAAAAATAGGCTGAGACGACGGAACCCACGACGGAACGTCATGGGCACGACGGACCGTCGAGGGTGTCTCGTCCCAAAACACTTAGAAATTCTGAAATTTGGGTGCTAAAATCGACTCTCTGAACTCTGTGACGGACCTGCAGGACGGACCGTCACAGGCACGACGAACCGTCGTGATCCACCGTTTCAAAACACTTCAACTCTTGAGAATTTGGTACAGGGAACGATTCTCTGAACGTCGTGACGGAAGTGCAGGACGGACCGTCGTAGGTACGACGGGCCGTCACAGACTCCTTAAGGAAATCGAGTCTCTGACGAACCTGCATGACGAACCGTCGCAGGCGCGACGGGCCGTCACAGGTTGCGTAATCCCAGTCGGAGTCAGATTTCTGGTTAAGTTTTAAAGGGGCGTTTTGGACTATTCCTGCTATAATTATATATTTCGTGGGTTTATATTAATGACTAAATTTCTTGGGGGTTAAAAGAGGTAACCTTAAGTTAATTAATGGGTTATTATTGCCACATTTTATTCTTAATTATATGCTAATTAGGGTAAAAGAAAGAGGGTTTGAATAAGAAAAAGAAAAGAACAGAAAGAGAGAGAAGGAGAATCGATAGAGAGAGACGAACGAAGAGGAAAAACACAAGGCTTTGGAAAATTCTTGCTTGATCATTAGTCTTCGGTGGAGGTAGGTTATGGTTTCTCTTACGATATTCGTAGTAAACTCTTAATAGCGAATGATATGTATTGATAATGTTGTAAACCCTGCTATGTGCTTAATTGTATGCTTGCATGAATGTAATTATATAATTGTGATTATATAAGCATGATGAAGTTATTGAATCCCAAATCTTGAAAAACCCTAATCTCTTTGTTAATGATGAGGCCTTGGTATAAAAGAAGGCGTAATGAACTAAAATAATGAGATTGATGATGTCTTTGGTAAGAAAGAAGGCTTGATGAATTGATAGAAGGAGATTAGGGGATCGGGTACCACGTTCCGGTACCAGGATAGTATATGAGGATCGGAGTGTCACGTTCCGACACCAGGATAGAATATGGATCGGGTGCCACGTTCCGGTACCATGATAGTATATGAGGATCGGAGTGTCACGTTCCGACACCAGAATAGAATATGGATCGGGTGCCACGTTCCGGTACCAGGATAGTATATGAGGATCGGAGTGTCACGTTCCGACACCAGGATAGAATATGGATTGCGTGCCACGTTCCGGTACCAGGATAGTATATGAGGATCGGAGTGTCACGTTCCGACACCAGGATAGTATATGAGGAGCGGAGTGTCACGTACCGACACGAGAGAAATAAAGATAATGAATCCTGAAAGATGTTAATATACTCAATCTAATGAACCTAAATCCCAAATGAGTATGATGAGGAGGCGTGAGTCCTCATTGACGAGCTTGGTGTTGTAACCAAGGGTTATGGTAATTGTAAATGCTACATGTTGAGTATCATAGTTGATTTTATGATATTACTTGGTATATACTGTTTTCTATTTTGAGTTGGCCGATGATACCTACTCAGTACTTGTGTTTGTACTGACCCCCTACTTTTATGTTTTCTTCTTTGTTATTTGTGGAGTGCAGCAAACGTGCCGTCATCTTCGACTCAACAGTAACTCTAGCCAGTCTTCACTACTCCGGATATCAGGGTGAGCTAATGCTTCTAGCTTGGACTGGATCTTCCTCTTCATGTCTTGATGCCTTGAAGTTCTGGCATGGACTAGCTTTCATGTATTTTTTGCTTCTTAGAAACTCTTAGATTTAGTAATTTGGACTAGATGTTCTTGTGATGATGACTTCCAGATTTTGAGAAATAATAGTTATTGAATTGGTTTTTATTAATGAGTTTAAGTCTTCCGCATTACTTTATGTTGATAGTACATTGAAATGTTAAGATTTAGATTTGGTTGGTTCGCTCACACAGGAGGGTAAGTGTGGGTGCTAGTCGTGGCCCGATTTGGGTCGTGACAGCTTGGAAAAATAGATTCATAATACTGAAACAAGGAATGAACCATTATTATATTGACACACAACTGAAAGTATCTTGACTTGTGCAACGTTACATAATTATTTGCGAGAATATTAAAGGAATGATGGAATATTTATTGTCTATGAGCATGAAAATATAATTGCATACCAACAAATGACTCAAAGTAACAATTTTGATTGATCGTTTCAGTCATATGATCAAGAAATTCCAGTTCAACATGAGGAGATTGTATGTATTACGTGGGAGAATTATATTAAAGACTAGTTCACTATAATTTATGATCAATTCTTTTGTTGAATTAAATTTGATGAAACAATTACTTAAGTGGAGAATAAATAGCTTTTTAGTAATTTAGTATTCGATTTTATAAATGTTTGTTTATTTGTTAAGATTGAATAAACAATTGAGGCTATTTTAATATTTTTACAACTTGTGAGATTCTTATGTTTTACAAGAAATTATACAACACAAAAATTTCATATCGCATGTCCAAACAAAACTTTCGTTTCATTTGAGAATTTCATATTATGATATCATATGATGATAATCATGATTCTATATTGCATAGCCAAACAGGCCTTTAGTCGAGATAGTTAATCGCCTGTTGAATTTGAGTAGTGTGACATCCTAATTTTCTTGAATAATCTTAGCTACTTCAAGATTAAAAATATATAATGTGAAAGTCATTAATTCTACGTTTCTAAACTATCACTTCTTTCTGGAAAAAAAAACACTATCACTTCTATTAATTCTATCATAAAAATCATTATCACTTTATTTCGAGTATCATTATTTTTGATCTTATGCTCTTTTATATGATCATATATCTACCTCAACATTTTGATCTTTGCAACAGGCAATAAAATGATGAAATAACTTACGATAATTTTTAGTAATCACATAGTTTTAATATGAGATTACAATCTATCACTTTTTAATTTGTAATTACGTTAATTTCTTAAGATAAAATATAAATTCGATACATTAATATGTAGCTCGGGTACATTATAACATAAATTGAATATATAATATATAGCTTGAATACATTAAAAATTAATTCGATTTTATATTATAAAATAAATTAAATATATAATAACTCGAATATATTAAATACTGAATCAAATACAATATTAATAGCTTTACATTAAAAAAAAAAGAAGAAGAAATTTTAAAGGTTTTTAGAAATTTTTTCGATAATTTATTATTTTGAAATAGCAACATTATTTTCATTTTAATTATGAAATAATTCTAAAGTAACTTATTTCCACGTTCTTCCACATTTAACCAACGCTTTCCAGCACACCAGAGAACAACTGAATAGTACAAATTTCAAATTCAAGCCCCTCAATAATAAATAAGAGTAATATATCAAATTTCAAGTAAATTTGTTTTCGGTAACTACGAACAAGATATGCCTTCTGTAGCCCTTCCCTTATGCATCCTCCTACTCCTACTCCAACTCTCTGCAGCTTCACCGGTCGTCGGCGATGAGGATTCTCAGTCCCCGACGGCGTATGAGATTCTTCAGGAATACGACTTTCCGGTAGGGATACTTCCGAAGGGCGTAACAAGGTACGAACTCGACAAAACAACGGGCAATTTCGCCGTTTACTTTAACAAATCGTGCAGTTTCAGCATAAGCGGCTATAATCTCAAGTATATGAGTAAAATTACTGGTAAAATCTCTAAGGATCGACTTGCGAACTTGAAAGGCGTACAGGTGAAAGTGCTTTTGTTTTGGATTAATATTGTCGAAGTTACTCGTGACGGCGACGATCTCGATTTCTCCGTCGGTATTGCTTCTGCTGATTTTGCAATTGATAACTTCTATGAATCGCCACAGTGTGGATGTGGATTTGATTGTGTCAATTCTGGAGAAAATGGCACAGGTAAGTTCGATTTGAAGCTGCTTATCACTTCGTCTTGAATCGTAAATTTTCAGAAATCGACTGTAGATTAAGATGTTTTAGGATGAAAATTAAGATGAAATGTATGGTCCATTTTGGAATTAGGGTAAGTTCGTATTTTCAGAATCCCACGGAACTGGAAGCATATGTTTTTTTATGCTCCTTTGGAATGAATATGTATTTTGTCATGTATCTTCTGTGGAGCTTCATCTATGCAGTAGTAGTGCTACTTTTTCTACTTGTGGAGTTTGAAATAAAAATTTCTGTTAAGCACATTGACGATTTCAATTTGGAATCCTAATTCGATTTAATTTTTCGATAATTATATCCATCCTTAATTAAAAGTGTTTACTCGAAACTGATAATCTAAAAAAAGTTGTTTAATTTATTGGTTTAGCATTTCAATAAATTTTTTTATTAGATAATTTATTTTGAGCGGATTAATCAATAATCTAATAGTACGTTAAGAAAATATATTTGTGTCAGTGTTGGTTTTTGAGCAAGATATAATCTATTCATTTATATGATTTATCACCTTTTAAATTAATAACTGAATCTATAATGATTAATAATTAATAAATTAATAATTAATAAGTCAATATTTTAACAACTTCATAACAATTTAACATGTATACAAATTGATTATTTTATAATTAAATTAAATCAAAATACATCGATATGTCATCATAACTTGTATTGTGTGCATTAGATATGGAAAAAAGAACAAAAATATATTCGGTACTATCTTAATAGTATGCATATATTATTCGTCAAATTTTGAAATATTAATACTTTGATATTCAAAAATTAAATTATATATGTTAAAAAAAAGTTTATAATTTTAATTTCTGTTTATTATTGATGAAATAATTTTTATATTTATACTTCAATAAAGATGTAGATTAAAGAAATTAAAAAAATTCAGTTCAAATAAATATTGCATCAAATCAACCATATAAATCGGAACCGGTGGGAATAAATATTATGCAATGCAAGATACCAACGTCGAAATAATTTTTTTTCTGTCATCTTCTGCAATAATTGAAACTTCCCCAAAGTCAATTATACATATCGTCGGCGCATCATCGGAGTAATCGCATCTGAATATCCATTTGATACGAAAATCATCACAAAAAACGGTAGCCTCAATGTTTTCTCCACGTCAGATCGCCGTTACCCTCGCTTTTCCTCTCTTAATCCTCTTCCTTACAACTCTACCGCCGTTAGTCACCGCCGCTGCAGCTACCGGCGACGCCGACGCCGTAAACGGTGGCACTTCCCTCACTGCTTACGACTTACTCGTAAGCTACGGCTTCCCCGTCGGAATTCTTCCACAGGGTGCTATTGGGTACGATCTCGATAAGGACACCGGAAAATTCAGTGTACATCTTAGTGGGTCTTGCAGTTTCGCATTAGAAGGGTCTTATCAGCTTAGGTATCAATCGAGATTCGGTGGGTACATAGCTAAAAATAGGCTGTCAAGCCTACATGGGGTTAGTGTAAAAATTCTGTTTCTGTGGCTGAATATTGTGGAGGTTGTTAAGAATGGTGACAATCTTGAGTTCTCTGTTGGAATTGCTTCGGCTAGCTTTCCCACTTACAATTTCTTGGTTTGTCCACAATGTGGATGTGGATTGAATTGCAATAGCAATGGACATATTCTAAAGATTCGAAACAGTAACCTTGTCTCTTCTGTTTAGCTGCACACAGAAGGATGATGGAGCCTGAGTTTACTGAAAGAGGTTAGTTCCAGTTTTTGAATATTTCTGAATATATGCTACTACTTGGTTGCTCACTGACTTATACTTGATTCAATTTATGAATTTATCAGATGTTTAATTCTTCAATTTGTGGTGAAGCATTACAAATTTCATGAGTATGTGTATGGTTTAGGTTGACATTGTTAACAGTTGGAGAATATTCTTGAAGCTTTGCATCTTAATCAAATAAATAAAACTGTCACTTATCAAGAAAAGTATTAAACATCTGATAAGTTCGCAGTCTATTAGTTATCGCTCTTAAATTTCGCGGCCTGAAACTAAATGAAAGAATTCAACATAATAGAATAAAGATAAGGAAAAAGAACCAGAAGAAGAGCTTGATCTAAGACCTATCTTTGATGACAGAAAATCCACAATACATGCCCATCTTTGTTTAACAAGACACATTTTGAATAATAAGAGAGTTACAATTATGTGATTTTTTAGAGAAAACATGGTCAAATTGTATTCTGATGTATTATTCTCGTTCATGTTTAAGATATTTTAGTATGGAAGTAGGTTACATTTTAACTGGTGGAGAGAAACAAACAGTTAAAAAGGGGACGGGGTAAGGAGAAGTGAATGACAACTTTGAAAAGGACTAAAAGCGAAGTGAAATCATCTCTACATTGACCTTACATGTGAAACTACAAGAAGAGACCATGTATATGTATTTAACCATGTTTAAAAAATTTAACGGGTCAAGAGAAAGTAGTCTTCCCTTTGTGGTGATTTTTTTATCAAGAGGATGCTACAAGAATTTTTATGTTAGAACATTGGGCCAGATTTGCTAGAGTTCTTTCTATTGAATTATTTTGTTTGTGAGTCCATATTATCAGTAAAGCCACCTTTCTACTTCTCTCAACTTAATTACAAGGCTTAAGGCTTTTGAGAGGGTTCAAACTTGTGCATAATAACTCAGACATATCATGTGCTATTATTTGGAAAAGAACATATGGTCCTAGACCTTATCTTAGTTGATCAAATAAAGCATGGGCTGCGTCTATATCCCCTTATTCAATGATTCAAGGATTTTAGATAGGATGCTCTCTCACCGTAAGATCAAAGCCCTGAGGTATATTGCTCAAACACCCAAGGGTCGATTGGTTTGGAGCAAGTTATCTTCGGATTATAATCCCACATCCCTTATGGTACGGAATAATATTAGGCTTAATATATAGATAACCCCTTATACTTGTCAGAATATTCCATTTAGACACTCGAACGGAGTCATATTCCAATTGAACAGCCCAACTCCAAATAAGATGTCCCAATTAGACACTTCCTTTTAAATTTCGGAAAAACTTAACGCATGTTTTCATTTGTCTATTTAGGTAGTTAACTTAACCACATAATATATATTATTTCCTTTAATTATATGCATCAACCTCAAGTAGGAAACGCCTGAGGTTTATGACTTTTTGAGGCAAGTGTATATAATTAAAGTAAATGACATATTTTATGTGGTTAATGTATCTACCTAATAAACGATAGAGAATGTCAAATTAAGTTCAAAATTTAAACCGAAAGTGTCTAATGGGAACTCTTTATAAGGAGTTGAGGTGTTCAATTGGAAGAGACTTAGTTTGAGTATCTAAATAAAGTATCTTGGCAAGTGTAAGGGGCTGACTATGTATTAAGTCAATTATGTACAAAATTTATATTGTATCAGCTAATGCATGCAGCCAAACACTGAATAAATGTAGTCCTAAATCTTATACCGAGAACTTGCCATATGGTACATGCATATAAGAGTTTCTAGGTTAATTTTCGTTCTTCGTTAATATGAAAGTTTGAAGCAATGGAACCCTCCCCTCAATTTATGTTAGCTTTTCTTTTTTTCATTCTTCTTAGAGAGTGAAACAATAAAAAAGCTTCTTTTTCCGTTGTTAGGCGTAGAAAGTTCTATTGAGCTCGTTACGCCCCACCCTCTAGCCTCTCTCTTTGTCATGGAAGGGGAAGAGTTATACAAGCTTAAGCATCCATACTTTACGCATCTTTCCCGAGGGCCAAATGGATCTTTATTCTGAGACATGCAATAAAGCATTGATCAGCACTAGACTCTCGATAGACTGCTTTTCAATTTTGTGTTCTCCCCTCTTTGGTGCTTCTAGTTAATAGTTGAAGTTTGCAAGAGCTTTCCCTGTTTTTACATCCTAGTTAGAACACATTTCTGCTGTTGGTTCACCACGACGGTAACTGATGCTTCAACAATATGACTCGTACATACTACTGTGGTGCCATTTTTCAAAATCACAATTCACAACTGTACGAGATGCTGCCATTACAAATCTGGTAACTACCAACTCACCAGAGTCTGGACCATGATTTTTTGCTGAAAGCATGAGTACAGGGATCTCTATTTCTTCCTGAAGGTTCTTTGTTTGAAAACAAGAGAATAAGAAGCTTGCTATTAGTTTACTAGTGCCATCAAGCAGTTGAGGTTAATGTAGTTGGCTAATCTTTTGCATGAAATGTTAATAAGAATATCATGGCCATCAAGTGAGGGGGGGGGTTGCTGGAATTGTATGTACCCAAGCTTGCTAATGGTTGACACTATTAACTATCCTACATTGGTTGAATAAATGGGTTGTTCTCTCTTTATATAATCTTGAGAGATCCTCATCTCATGAGCTTACACTGGGTGTAAATTAGACCCAAGACCCACTTTCTTCACATAATACCAGAGCTTGATCTATTCTTGTTCTCGGTTTCCCGATGTTGGTTCCTTGTGTTATATTGTACATGCATTGGTGCAGGTGTGGTAATTGTCCCACATTGGTTGAGAAAATGGATTGTTGCAGACATTCTGGGGTTGAGTTATGGTGTCATACACATATGAATTCCATGTAGGACAACAAAAACCATTGAAGCGATATGTATGAATAGGAAAATAAGAGTTTGTATATGCTGAGAGGCTCTGTTTGATCAAACAGTAAACTGAGGCTGAAATCCTTTCGAGGCAGCGAATAAATTCGTGTGTAATAATTCACTAAAATTGCAATAAGTAAGAAATATAAACCTATAACTAAATAAATAATATTTGGTCCAATACTAAAAACCTTTGATGCACTTGTATAGTACATTGTGTGAGAGACAGACCTGCAGCCACAAGATCTGCTTATTTCCTCTGCCCTTTCTCTTTCTCTTCTGTAGCAACCTATGGCACTTTATAGTGTATTTGACTTCTGCATTGCCTCGAAAATTAGAAGGAAGATATCTAATACATGACTCTATTTGTTGAGTGCTTGCAGATACTTGCAACTCATGGAAAAGATCAGGTGACATGGTTGCAGTGTACAGAAAGCCTGAAATGGTCATTCTCCTCCTTCCTCCTCATCATAGTTGCAATACAAAAAGTCGAAAACTCATGTGTTCATTTACATTATCGTTATGTTATCTACAATTTCGTCTTTGCTCTGTCATGGATACAAAATATTCTTGAAATTGCTGTTTATAACGAGATTCTTTTCCATCACGCGTATTGCATTAAGCTCTCTATAGCTTGTACTCGGAAATCTGTTAAATCAGAAGCCAAAATGTGAAACAAAAAGAATTGAGAAGCTAAGGAACAGATGATGACATGCACTACAGTTCTCATATAAATATGCAATGCATCACCTATATTTATGACTTTTTGTGAAGAATTTGTGCATCTCATGGTTCACATTTCATTATTTTACTTTCATGCTCTGATCGTTGTATTTGACGTTGTGATTCGACCTTTTAACCCCCTCTTTGGGAGCTCCTACCTTTGTTGTATTTGACGTAGTGATTTGACTTTTTTAACTCCCTTCCTGTGAGTACCTTTGTTGTATCTGACGTTGTGATTTTACTTTTTTAACTCCCTTCCTGTGAGCTCCTACCTTTGTTGTATCTGACGTTGTGATTTTACTTTTTTAACTCCCTTCCTGTGAGCTCTTACCTTTGTTGTATCTGACGTTGTGATTTTACTTTTTTAACTCCCTTCCTGTGAGCTCCTACCTTTGTTGTATCTGACGTTGTGATTCTACTTTTTTAACTCCCTCCCTAGAAGTTCCTACCTTTGTTGTATCTGACGTTGTGATTCGACTTTTTTAACCTCCTGGGAGCTCCCACCTTTTTTGCACCACGAAGAACATTTCTTTGTTGCTTATAGGACCTTGTTCTTTATGTTTTACCTAACAAACATCAATAGGTTATATTTATATTATTTTATGCTAAGAAGTGGAATAATTAATATATGAATTATTGAACTCTATTATAAAATTCTTACATTATTAATACTAAACATAATTCCAACCAACAACCAAATTATCGGAATTCATTTTTAGAAAAAAGTAATGTGAACGCAAACTCTGCTAAGGTCTACAAAGAACAAAAAGATGTAATTCTACTTTATTAGTAGCATTGTTTTAATGGCTAATTATTGCTTTAATAAACTTTGCGTAAGCAACGGCAACATTAATTCTCAGACGTTAATAGTGCTTTATATGATTAATGGCCCTAATTAAGTCAAGTCAATACACCTGCAATTTTCACCGTCTCATATTAGTTGTTCAGTTTATTTTTATACTTTCTTTAAAAGAAATTATAAATAAAAAAATAATTGTAAGAGTAAAACCAAAAGAAAATAGTTAATTTTATAAATTGATTAATAATTGAAAGTAATATTATTTTTATACTATGATAACAACTAACATGGACAGCAGGGAGTATAGCCTTTGATTAATTTAATTATAAAGTCACTGCAATGTCCCCTTGTCGTTTCAAAATCATATTGTTGGCCATTTTCTAATGCTAAAGATAAAAATAATATCGATAAAGTAAAGGGTATATAATAATAAAAAATATAATACTTAAGTATGATTAAGGGTGTGGTGAAAAATAAATTTTGATTTTTTCATATTTGATTCGATTAATATTTTTGAAAAATACTTTCTTTAATAAAATAAGGTTTTAAAAAATGTAACATTATTCATTTCGTTACAAGTTATCACCTCATTCTACACCTTTATTTTAACTCTATTTTTTATTACATTTATTTTAATTATATAAAAATATTTTTTATTTATATCCCGAATATTTAAAAAAAAAAAAAGTAGAACACGATAGTATTTGTTTTATAAGTAATCAATGAGTGATTTGCATCCCAAAACAGATGAGACACGGAAGAATTGTGAAGATCGGATGACGCTTTATTCAATATATTTTATTTAATTAGGCTCTTAATTAATTCACCTTTATGATTAATTTATTTATTATTTATCTACTTAATAAACACTTAAAGAATATAGAGCTTTAAATAATTTTTAATATTTTAAATTAAAAAATATTTCATAATATGATTGAATACTCAATCAGTATGTTATCTAATGTCTAAATAAAATTAAATAAATCGTTAGATAATATTTTATCTTCAAAATTCAAACATCACACATGACATGAATGCTCCTACCAATACATATGACATGTTTAACTTTAAAGCACATTATGGATCCGTTTTGTAGACGGTATTAGGTAGAATAATTTATGGATTAAAATTTAATTCAATTAATACATTGTTTGTTTACTTCATTTAATTAAATCCATGGATTGCTTATCCATCATATGTGATACAAAATATGATCAAAAATATCTTTTAACTATCAGAAGTAGCTTAAATATATCCTTGAACTATATTTCGGCTGAAATATACTCTTACTGTCAAACTATTGGATCAAAAATACCCTTCTCATTAACAGAATCGGTTAAACGTCACTTAGATGCCATGTGGATGTCACATGGCATGCCACATGAGCCAATAGAGTTCCACTCATGGCACGTAGACTAATAAACTTATCCTTGATTTCCCCCAATTTTCTTCGTTTTCCATAGAATTTATAAACAATTTCATTGAAGAACATAGAACCCCTTTTCCTCATTTCTTTAATTTCCTTAGAACGTTCACAGAATACATAAGTTCTAAGGGAAGGGTATTTTTTAGGGAAAATTGTATATAATCGCAAACTAATAATCTAAAACAAATGGAGTAGCTAGGATTTGATTAATTGTGTTCCATAGCAAACGTTTGCAAAAAATTGTCAGACGCCTCTCTCCCAAATATCTCGCTCGCCACTCTCCTCCAATCTCTCACTCACCTCCTCACTTTTTATACAAACACAAGTGTATAAAAAGTGTTTCTAATTGTATAAAGCAGAGAAAATTGTACAAAATACATATATTTTTATTCCCCTTTCTCCCCTCTTCCAGATCTCGCTCGCCACCCTCGCCTTTCTCACTTATACAAACAGGAGCGAAATGTATAAATTGTGTTTCTGTTTGAATAAAGCGTGAGAAAATTGTATATACACATGCAAGTACATATATTTTCGTCCTATACACTTATATTTATACAATAAAAATACTCCCATGCCCAGTTTCTTTTACATTTCTCTCTTTCTCGTTTTATACAATTTTCAAATTGTATCTAATTTTCTCTCTTTCTCGTTTTATACAACTCGATTCAATTGTATATTCCTTGTCAAGTCTCTTTTGTCTTTCTCTCTTTCTCATTTTATACAAATTCAAATTGTATATAATCATTCTATATACTTATAATAATACAATTCGTTTTTATACAATTCCCCGCCCAAGTGTCTTTCTCTTTCTTGTTTTATACAATTTGTTTTATACAATTTGCTTCAACTGTATATGTATATCGAATTATATAGTTCATATGTTTGCTATGGAGCGCATTATGCAAACTTTGCTATAGCATACAAATATGAATTTTTTATTTGCTATATGTGAAAGTTGTCTTATTTTTTAACCCTATAGTTTGAGGAGAAGGGTATTTTTGAGCGAAAATATAGTTCAAAGGTATATTTGAGCTATTTCGAATAGTTCAAGGGTATTTTTGACCATTTTCCGTATGAGTTATCTTATCCCTTGGAAATGGAGGGATAACTAATCCAAGGTTTGTTAAACCCTGAATAAGATCCTTAAATGACTAAACTAACCCTTTATTCTTTTTTTATATTTCTTTTGTAATTTAATTTCCTTTTTATTTGTATTGGAGTGGTTATAAATGTTCCTTTTTAATTCTCCAAATTCGTTTGGTGTAATTTAATGATTTTACTAAAAAAAAATTCTTTATTTTTTTTTATTTTTATATTCAAGATAATTTGTCAATTACCACTTGAACTATTTGTTTTAAAAATAAAAATAAAAATAAAAATAAGCTTTAGGTATTAACAATTTAAGTAGTCTTAATCTATGTTAAATTTAAGATATATACTTAACCCACAAAAAATTAGAAGTATATTGTGCCATCATTGATCCTCTTAATGGTACATCTTACCTTAAAATTAATAATAATTTTGTATATATGTATATGATTTAACTAATTAAATGAAACAAAAAATTCTTTCAAAAAATTATCCGGTCCGATGGTTATTACCTTGACCCAATTACATGAAATAAACACTCATAATAATACGAGGGTATAATAGAAAAGAATTTTTTTGTAAAATTATAAATTAAAGACAAAATTAGGTAGAAAGTAGTGAACCAAACATTTACAAAAAAATAATCCTTGCACTATTAATCCGTACATTACTAATCCATGCATTATTAATCCATGCATTATCAATGTTTGTACCAAACAACCCCTATGTGTATTATATCGTCTATAATTGTAATAAAGAAAGTTACTTTCAATTTTTTTATTTCTATAAAATAAATATTTAATTTATTTAGAAAAATCATGCTTTTCTATTACGTATATGTTATTTCTGTTGTATTTCCTCTATCCATTATTGTTTGTTATGATCTCTATTTTTAGAGTTAAAATTATAAAAAATTTGATTAACATTTTAAAAATATAAATATATAAAAGATTATAATTTATAATACTTTTGATATAACTTTTGAATATCACTTATTTTATTAATATATTGATGATAATCTTAAAAATACTAAGATATGATTATAACATTAGTTTGATTAAAAAAAGTTGCAAGAATGTTATGAGATTTTCCCAAAAGAAACAAAAAATAAATACGTAAACCTGGAGATTGAAGAATTCAAAAAAAAAAGAAGAAAAAAATAGGATCTAAAGCCCGAAGATTAACACTAATACTATAATTATTTCATTTGCATGAATAAAAGATACTAATAAAAGAAAGATATAACAATAAGCTTAAAATTTAAAAGCAACAAAGCACGAGTAAATTTCACACTGCTATATTTTTCTGATAAAACAGTTCCTTCACTAAATTCTCTTTTCTCGTTGATCGAAAATCTCCGATGAGTAACCGGAGATCAACGGCGCAGCTTCAAAGATTTTCAGTTGCTTCCAGATCTGTGTTTCAACAGCATCTTCCGGAGCTCAGCAGCGTCAATCTCATTTGCTTGTCCTTCCGGCCTATAGTAACCGGTAACTGGATCTGGCACCCATGAAGTCTTCACCGATTCCTCTCCACTTTTTTGCATCATCACGTTGCTCCTTGGCACTCCTTTTGCTACACCGGAAACTGCACCTTGTGATGCCGCTGCATATCCACGCCTGTACATACACACAAAAAATTCACATTCACATCACAGCAAATTAGCCGCCGATACAATCCTCTGTTTTTGCTACGAACAAAAAAAATCCAAGTACGTATAAAATATACTATTACATTGATAAAAGAAAAAGTTCAAAATGTGCAGCGACAATCACGCTTGTTGATTTAAAAAAGTTGTATGCTAACGCCTTTTATCCAGGGGATAAACGGATGTTTCGGTTATTACCAGCTAAGAAAAACAGAGAACTTCGATCCCCTGTTATCGTTATGCATAGCATAATTCTAAAATAATGCTGTGAAAAAACCACAGAATTTAACTCAGATGCAATATAGCTGAGAAAATTTTAGATTTACACCGAAAAACTCAACGGAAACAGCGGTACACATTCACGTTCACCGATTTCAAAATTTGAATATTTCCTGTTTAGATTCATATTACGAACGTTATGATCATTACCTGCTGAGAAAAGCAGAAACGGAGTCGGAGACGAAAGCAGAGAGAGTCTTAGAGTTAGAGAAAGAACGAGCCATTGCTTATTATGATATCGAGATCGGAGTCGGAGCAAGAGAATTTCTGAATAAGAACGCTGCGGCGGAAGGAGTTTGGCTATGGAGCTTCCGCAGCGGCGAACTGAAATTCTGTAGCTTCGACTCTCTTTCTCCGGCGAACTTAGGGTTACATAAGCGAGGAGAAATGGAGGAGAGAATGGGGAAGTATATATAGAGATGGAGAATGAGGAGGGAAAAAGGCAAATATGGACTAGGGTTTAATTTGGGGCCACGTGAATATTGGCCACTATTTAGACGCAAAGGTCCTCTCCTTAGT